AGACACCAGAACGTGTATAGTAGATATCAAAACGTGATAAACAGTAGACATCAACCAGAACATGTACAGTAGACACCAGAACGTGTACAGTAGATATCAGAACGTGTAAAACAGCAGGCGCCAGAACTTGGATAGTAAGTATCAGAACGTCAACAGTAGTCCCCAGAACGTGTATAGTAGCCATAATGACATGTACAGAAGACCCCAGAACTTGTACAGTAGAGATCAGAACGCGTACAGTAGATTTCAGAACGCGTACAGTGGCATCAGATCATGTACAGTAGATACCAGAACATTTAAAACAGTAGACACCAGAACGTGGTAGACAACATAAATTGTAAAGTAGAAATCAGAACATGTGAAACAGTAGACAACGACAACATAACGTGTACAGTAGACACCCGGACATGTACTGTAGAAATCAGAACATGTGAAAAAGTAGACAACAAAACGTGTGCAGTAGACACCAGAAAATGTACAGTAGACACCAGAACGTGTATAGTAGATATCAAAACGTGATAAACAGTAGACATCAACCAGAACATGTACAGTAGACACCAGAACGTGTATAGTAGATATCAAAACGTGATAAACAGTAGACATCAACCAGAACATGTACAGTAGACACCAAAACATATACTGTTGAAATCAGAACACGTACAGAAGACACCAGAACATGTACAATAAACACCAAAACATGTACAGTAGAAATGAGAACATGTGAAACAGTAGACAGCAGAACGTGTACAGTAGACATCAGGACATGTACAGTCGAAATCAGAACATGTGAAACAGCAGACAACAGAACGTTTATAGTAGACATCAAAATGTGTAAAACAGTAGACACCAGAACGTGTATAGTTGATATCAAAACGTGTAAAACAGTAGACACTAGATCGTTTATAGGTGATATCAATACATGTACAGTAGACACCAGAATGTGTACAGTAGATATCAGAACGTGTAAAACAGCAGACACCAGGACTTGTATAGTAAATATCAGAACGTCAACAGTAGACATCAGAACGTGTATAGTAGACATAAGAACATGTACAGAATACACCAGAACTTGTACAGTAGACACCAGATCATGGACTGTAGACAACATAAATTGTAAAGTAGAAATCAGAACATGTGAAACAGTAGACAATAAAACGTCCACAGTAGACACCAGAACATGTACAGTAGACACCAAAGCATATACTGTTGAAATCAGAACATGTGAAACAGTAGACACCATAATGTGTACAGTAGACATCAGAACGCGTACAGTAGACATCAGAACATGTACTGTAGACAACACACCATGTACTGTAGACAACAGAAATTGTAAAGTAGAAATCAGAACATGTGAAACAGTAGACAAGATAACGTGTACAGTAAACACCCGGACATGTACGGTAGACACCAAAACATATACAGTTGAAATCAGAACATGTGAAACAGTAGACACCAGAACGCGTACAGTAGACATCAGAACGCGTACAGTAGATATCAGAACATGTACTGTAGACAACAGACCATGTACTGTAGACAACGGAACATGTACAGCAGAAATCAAAACATTTGAAACAGTAGACAGCATAACGTGTACAGTAGACACCCGGACATGTACGGTAGAAATCAGAACATGTGAAAAAGTAGACAACAAAACGTGTGCAGTAGACACCAGAACATGTACAGTAGACACAAGAACGTGTATAGTAGCCATAATAACATGTACAGAAGACATGATATATATGAGAACGTGTAAAACAGTAGACACCAGAACGTGTATAGTAGACATCAGAACGTGTAAAACAGTAGACACCAGAACGTGTATAGCTGATATCAGAACGTCAACAGTAGACACCAGAACGTGTATAGTTGATATCAAAACATGTACAGTAGACACCAGAACGTGTATAGTAGATATCAAAACGTGATAAACAGTAGACATCAGATCGTGTATAGTTGATATCAAAACATGTACAGTAGACACCAGAACGTGTATAATATATATCAAAACGTGTAAATCAGTAGACACTAGATCGTTGATAGGTGATATCAAAACATGTACAGTAGACACCAGAATGTGTACAGTAGATATCAGAACGTCTAAAACAGCAGACACCAGAACTTGTATAGTAAATATCAGAACGTCAACAGTAGACACCAGAACGTGTATAGTAGCGATAAGAACATGTACAGAATACACTATAACTTGTACAGTAGACAACAGATCATGGACTGTAGACACCATAAATTGTAAAGTAGAAATCAGAACATGTGAAACAGTAGACAACAAAACGTCAACAGTAGACACCAGAACATGTACAGTAGACACCAAAACATATACTGTTGAAATCAGAACATGTAAAACAGTAGACAACAGAACGCGTACAGTAGACATCAGAACATGTACAGTAGACACCAGAACGTGTATAGTAGCCATAAGAACATGTACAGAAGACACCAGAACTTGTACAGTAGACATCAGAACGCGTACAGTAGACTTCAGAACGCGTTCAGTGGCATCAGATAATGTACAGTAGATACCAGAACATTTGAAACAGTAGACAACAGAACGTGTACAGTAGACACCAAAACATGTACAGTAGAAATGAGAACATGTGAAACAGTAGACAGCAGAACGTGTACAATAGACATCAGGACATGTACAGTCTAAATCAGAATGTGAACAGTAGACACCAAAACGTAAACATGGGCACCAGAACGTGTAAAACAGTAGAAAGAAGAATGTGTAAAACAGTAGACACGAGAACGTGTATAGTAGACATCACAACGTGTACAGTTGAAATCAGAACATGTGAAACAGCAGACAACAGACGTGTATAGTAGACATCAGAACGTGTAAAAAAGTGTATATGGTTACTAATGAAATTAGATGGTCTTTCAATGGTAATTGGTTGAATGAGGTAAGTAGTTGAAATGGGCCGGACTGCCGGATAATAAAGGATTATTATTACGAATACTTGCCTGATTGCCCATACAAGGCGATCTATTAAACACAATGGACAATGTAAAACCTGATCAGTCATGAGTACGTACCTGCATGTGTTAGCTAGGTAACCTCATGTTACAATCCTGTTTATCTTAAATATAGAAATGGATATAAAATGTTGATAGTGTCGATTCAAGGTAAAAAACAGATAACGTACTGAGACATTGACAGTATTGTATTACAGCTCAATCGATATAGTACATATAAACGTCTGTAGTCTGTTCGCTGAGGATTTAGGAAAACACCGAGTTCTGGAATTGTTACAAAATATCTGCGTGATGACTTTATACAATCATGACACACGTCTGGTACTATTTATAACTGCCTTACACTAGCTATTGAAATACTGGAGTTTAATCATGGGTAAGGTCATGCAATGAAAACGTCTAGTTTTGTTTTGTACTCCACACTGTGCCTAACTTACTAGTTTAATACACATGAACCAAGGTGTGTTATATTTTTAACGTTACTGCTGACGAATTTACGTGTACACCTATACCTTACTTCCTGGCTGTCGTCTACAGCAGTTGTGTTAGTGTACGACCAAATAATGTGGTCGTTCTGACGTATCAATATGCTTTATATCCTACTTTCGGAGCACTATCGAATAATATGCAATTACTCAAGATGGTCCGGGGTGTAGAAGCTGTGTCCACAATGTTTTGGATAGTTTTGTTGAGTATATTTCAAGGGATTCGAATGAGTAGTAAGTTTACAGCTGTTAACTTATTTATCGCGTTTATTGTCAGCCATTATTAAATTATTCAAGAACCTTACACTAGCTATTGAAATGAAGGAGTTAAATTATGGATAAGGCCATTGAATGTTCGTCTTTTTACATTAATAATCCCATGGCTGATATAAAATCCCGAGTCGATGAATACTATGTCTAATTTGTTTTGCACTCCACACTGTGCCTGACATACTAGCTTTATTTGTGTCAGTAGGACTGACGGTATTACTGTGTACACCGAAATTACTTAAAACGATTAGTTGTTTCTGATAATGTTCAACGATGAGGCCAAAAAACAAATCAAGCGAAAACTTAAGCATACATCTAGCTACTGTCATTATACTCATAAACTACCCTTTCTGTTGCCTAACACGCACATACGTTGCTTCCTGGTCTTAATCCATAATTAAAACGTTACCATTCGGACCACTGACAATTACATATAATCGTTAGAAATGGACAGGTGTGCCGGAACTGTGTTCATATTGTTTAGTGGACAGGTGTGCCGGAACTGTGTTCTTAGTGTTTGGGGTAATTGTGATGGGTATAGTTCCAGGGATTCGAATGAGTAGTAAGTTTACAGTTGTTTATTTCTTAGGTTTATTTTTGAAATATGATGTAGATAGCAATCAATCAATGTGATCTTATCGGGGTTGAATAAATCTGTAGAAACGCCGATAGGTACATTTGTATGTCAATTAAACATATTAAGTCGGAAAGATCAACATGACAGTGGTGATACTCCTATTATAATCATTAAGGATTATATAAAAAGTACCACATTTTATCTGAAATAAAGACTGCTTTAAGAAAAGACAAAATCAAAATATCATGAATATCATTGGTGCTCTCGTTTGGAAGTTTTAATACAATTTTATTACATTTTTATGATTTACCAATGTCTATATTTCTATATAACTTCTGTGAAGACGAACTTCTCGATGCTAGAAAGAGATTCATGTCGAAAGAGTACGATAATCTAAAAGGATCCATATATCATTACTGTATAGCGGTCTAGAGGGCCACTATTGAGGTAAATGGCACGTTAAGACTATGATGAGCTGTTATATACTTTCCGTGTAACAGTTTTCATATTTTCATATAACAGCAAAAAATCGAAATTGTAATAGATGCAAGGCACATTTACTAAGTTGTTGTACAAATATACCACATAATATATACCATGATGTTTTTCATTGAATTCAGTAATGTGTGTACTTCAAAAAGAATTAAAAGAATGATAACTCAATTTCACACTTACAGTCAACCTAAAGAATCAGTTGAAATTGGATGCAACGCCTGCGAATTCAAATTTCCCTGTGTCCGGCACAACAGACGGAAATTACGGCCCTTTTGCTTCCCATATTTGTATGGCCTCCGTTGGGGAAAACATGGCCTGGTGGCGAGGGACTTTACCTTCTAAGGCAAGAATACAGAAAATCGACATCGTGTTTAGAATTGCAGGTGAGTCGTTCCTATACCACTTCAAATGTTACAGTAGTAAATTGACCTTGTCCGATACAGGGGTGTCAGCGTTTCAGTTGACAGATTTTGCGTTTTCATTCCGTTTTCATTCCATTTCATTCGCGTTTTCATTTCATTTCGTTCTCAAGATTCAATTCGTTCCGTTTCCGTCGCAGACTGGTTTTTTCGTTTCGTTCTGCTTCGTTCCATGTTAAATCCTCTCTACCCTAATCGTTCCGTTTCGCTCCGTCCCACTCCGAGTGGAGCTTTCGTTTCGTTCCGTTCTACACTCGTTCCGTTCCGTTCCATCGGCGAGGCGCTTGTACATTGATGTGAAA